AAAGATTGGTTTTGAGGAGTGTATACGATTTTCAAGTAAAAGAGTAAATTAAATATAGCGGTTCATTTAAAATAACTCCATTAGGCCCAAGAAAGATTTAGTTCAGAAACGTAAAAATGGGAATCTTAAGAAACCTGTCAACATGATTCATTATTAAATGAATTATTTTAAAATATTGACAGATGACAAAGTATTTGGGGGATATTTAGCAGTCATTCTTAATAAAGTCTTTTATCTTAATAAAGATAAAACTGCAATAGAAGGGAGACTACCCAAACATAACAAACTATCAAATTTAATATTAATGTAAAATGGTGAGATACAGAAGGCATTTCCAGTAAAACTGGAAGTGAAGATGCTTATTGTTACCTTTATTCAACATTGTTTTTTTTAAGATTTTATTTATTTATTCATGAGAGACACTGAGAGGGAGAGGCAGAGACATAGGCAGAGGGAGAAGCAGGCTCCATGCAGGGAGCCCGATGTGGGACTTGATCCCAGAACTCTGGGATCACGTCCTGAGCCGAAGGCAGACCCTCAACTGCTGAGCCACCCAGGCGTCCATCAACATTGTTTTTGAGGTATTAGCTAATGCAGTAAGGTAGGAGAATGAAAACAGTATAAATATAGAAAGAATCATTATTTGCAGATGATATATGAGTGCTTTGAAAATCTAGGAAACTCATCTAGAAAATTAGTTGAGTTAATGAGAATTTGGTAAAGTGATTGGGCAATCCAAATTTTTTTTTAAGCTATGTTAAATGCAAAAACGTTTGAATAGAAATTGGAGGTAGAGAGTGGGCTGGAGAGCCTATTCAGAATAATCAATTTTTTTTTAAATTTGTAATTTTAATTCTAGAGTAGTTAATGAGTATTATATTAGTTTCAGATGTATAATATAGTGATTCAACGATTCTCTGCATTGCTCAGTGCTCATCACGATAAGTGTACTCCTAATCCCCATCACCCTGCCCACCTTCCCTCTGTAGCCATCTGATCAATATAATTAAGAGTGGTTTTTGGTTTGTCTTTTGTTTGCTCATTTGTTTCTTAAATTCCACATATGAGTGAAATCATATGGCATTTGTCTTTCTCTCACTGACGTTTCACTTAGCATAATACACTGTAGTTCCATCCATGTCATTACAAGTGGCAAGGTTTTGTTCTTTTTTATGGCTGAATAAAATCCCGTTGTGTATATATACACACACACACCCCACTTTTTTATCCATTCATCAATTGATGGACCCTTGGGCTGCTTCCATATCTTGGCTCTTGTAAATAATGCTGCCATAAACGTTGGGGTGCACGTATCCCTTTGAATTAATAATGTTCTTGTATTCTTTGGGTAAATATCCAGTAGTGCAATTGCTGGGTCATAGGGTAGTTCTTTTTTTTTTCTTTTTTAACTTTTTGAGGAACTTCCATACTGTTTTCCATAGTGGCTGCCCCCGTTTGCATTCCCACCAATAGTGCAAGAAGGTTCCCTTTTCTCCACATCCTCACCAACACGTGTTGTTTCTTGTGTTGTTAATTTTAGACATTCTGACAGGTGTCAGGGGATACCTCACTGTAGCTTTGATTTGCATTTCCCTGACGATGAGTGAGGTTGAGCATCTTTTCAAGTATCTGTTGGCCATCTAGATGTCTTTGGAAAAATGTCTGTTTATATCTTCTGGCCATTTTTAAGTTGGATTGTTTGTATTTTGGGTGTTGAGTTGTGTAAGTTCTTTATATATTTTGGATCCTAACCTTTTATCAACTATGTCATTTGTAAATATCTTCTCCCATTTCATAGGTTGTCTTTTAGTTTTGTTGATTGATTGTGTCCTTTGCTGTGCAGGAGCTTTTTATTTTTTATTATTTTTTTTAAAAGATGCATTTCATATTTTATTTATTATTTTTAAATATTTTATTTATTTATTCATAGAGACACACACACAGAGAGAGAGGCAGAGATACAGGCAGAGGGAGAAGCAGGGTCCACGCAGAGAGCCTGACGTGGGACTGGATCCAGGGTCTCCAGGATCATGCCCCGGGCTCTAGGCGGCGCTAAACCGCTGCACCAGTGGGGCTGCCCAGGAGCTTTTTATTTTGATGTCCCAGTAGTTTATTTTTGCTTTTATTTCTCTTGCCTCAGGAGACCTATCTAGAGAAAGGTTGCTATGACTAATGTTAGAGGTTACTGCCTGTGCTCTCTCCTGGGATTTTTATGGTTTCAGGTTTCACAGTTAGGACTTATGACCAATTGTTAAATACCTGGGAATATATTTAAATAAGAATGGTATTGTGGTACTGGTAAGAATTATGTCAAGATCTTCTTGAAAGACCATAACTGAAGTTGGAATATATGGAGAGACATGTTATATTTTTAAGATGAGAATACCAGAACAATGTCTGTAACTTCCTAATTACAAGTAGTTCTAATCAGAATCCGAAAGTTTTTAGAATTAGATCAAATGATTTTTGAGTTCATTTGTAACAATAAATACCTAAGAATAGCCAAAAAAATAAATTAAAAAAAAATCATACTGCTGGGAGATTTTCCTGTTGTTTATCATTTACTGTTAAAGCATAGTAACTAAATAGTGTGGTGTTGACACAGGAATGGATAATAGGAATGGCACAGAGATTTTGAACATGTCTGAGTATATATTCGTACTAGTAATAGATGGCCTAAGCTATATTTCAGTTTGCTTGGGAAAAGGAGATTTAGTTGATTTCATAGGCCATGCCAACACAATGGGCTGTCCATTCCCATGAGAACAAAGTTAACATGACCCTGGAAGCCATAGAAAAGTTAATCTCAGATGGCTTAAGCTCTGGATACAAAAACTTAATACATTTAGAGAAATTCAGCATATTTAACTTTGGAGTTAGGAAACCTTTTAAAAGAAAGACAAACCCAGAAACCATAACAACAACCTAATCCCATAAATGAAACTGGAAAAACTGGTAACAAACACGACAGGGATTTAATCCCTTTAATAATATAAAGAGCCCCTACAATTTAAAATTTAAAAATTAAGATAATTAAATGGAAAAAATGTAAAGGGCATGAACTGGTATTTCTCAGAAGACGAAAATTAAATATCCTGTAAACTTCTAACAAGATGCTCACACCTTTTAGTGGCCCAGCAAGTTCATGTGAAGACATTAGCGAGGGACCTGTCGCAATAGAAGAGGGACAACGTCCAGTGTTGGGGAGGATGCAAGGAAATAGGTGCTTGCATGCATAGCTAGTTGGGGCATGAGTTACTATCCAAACTATAAAAACTAAAATCTACATCCCTTTTTTGTCAGCAACCTAGTGTTTTAATGTCTGGCTTACAGTCAGGCATCTATACAAGGAGGTTAAAGAGTAGTTTTTTATGGAATGATACAATATAAAAAAAAAAATCAGGGGATCCCTGGGTGGCTTGGTGGTTTAGCACCTGCCTTCGGCCCAGGGCCTGATCCTGGAGTCCCGGGATTGGGTCCCGCGTCGGGCTCCTTCCATAGAGCCTGCTTCTCCCTCTGCCTGTGTGTCTCTGCCTGTGTGTCTCTGCCTCTCTCTCATGAATAAATAAAATCTTAAAAAAGATCATTATCCCCCCCCAAAATCTATGATGACACCGAACAGTGTTAGATGAAAATTTTCAAGTTCAGAATATGTGTGATCCTAGTTCTAAAAAGAACAGCATGTGTGTTTATCTGAGAACGTGTGTTGGTAAGAGTGTATACGAGCATAGGAGAAAACTGAGCATATCACACAGGATTGATTAGTGTCTTCTAGATCTTCGAATGGTTGTACTTAGATGATACATTAAGTGAAGCAAGTTATAAAACCTTAGGGCTATAAGATCGAGTTCTTAAAATTGTGACTGAGGATCTGTGTGAGAACATTCATAGGAAAAATGGAATGGGTTATTTTAGGGAATTTTGGCAAATGACTTCTGACTTCTATGAATTTTTCATGAGTATGTATTTTGTAACTAGAAAAATATAAGGCAAGGAGAGTAACTCCTCTGTTAGTTCAGGATGTTACCTACATCCAGATGGGTCCCCAGCCTATGGCTTCAATACTTAAAAGATAAGGCAAGCCCCAAACTTACTTCCTTGTACAGTTGACCCTTGAACAACATGGGGGTTAGGGATGCTGACCCCTACACACAGAAATTTGCACATGACTTTTTAAAAAAATTTTTTTAGATTTTATTTATATATTCATGAGAGAAGCAGAGACACAGGCAGAGGGAGAAGCAGGCCCCATGCAGGGAGCCCGATGTGGGACTCGATCCTGAGACCCCCAAGGGTCATGCCCTGGGCCGAAAGCAGTGCTAAATGGCTGAGCCACCTGGGCTGCCCTGCACATAACTTTTGACTCCCCCAAAACTTATAACATTCTGTTGACTGGAGGTGTTACCAAGAACATAAATAGTCAACACATTTTGTATGTTATATGTATTATATACTATATTCCTACAATAAAGTAAGCTAGAGAAAATGTGATTAAGAAAATCATAAGGAAGAGAAAATATTTTTACAATATTATATGGTATTAGGGGAAAAAACCTGCAAATAAGTGGACCCAGACAGTTCAAACCGATGTTGTTCAAGGATAACTGTTTATTGTAAAGGATCTGTTCGAGAATTCCAGCTCTTAACTGCTGTACTCATTAATAATTGTGATTGTGGGAGTTGGTATTCTTTTACATAATTGTATTACCAACAGTATTCAAAGTGGTAAAAAAAAATCTTGAAAAACCGTAGGTTAATAGTTTGAGGTGAGATGTAAAAAATCAATAGACAATGTAGTCATTAAGTGGCATAAAAAGAAAAACTAAAAGTAGAAGAAAATATAGATAGTAGTAGGAGAGGCAATATAGATTCAAGTGTGAACTTGGCTTTCATATAGATCTAGGTGTACTTCTTGGCTCCATTTCCTATTGGGTACCTTTGGGCAAGCTACGTAACCCTTCTCCTCTCCTCCCCCCCTTCTCCCTCTCCCTCTGTCTCCCAAGAGTATGGGATGCTTCATGAATTTGTCTCATCCTTGTGCAGAGGCCATGCTAATCTTTCTGTATCCTTCCAATTTTAGTATGTGTGCTGCTGAAGCGAACACTACATATCCTTTCTCTCTCTCTCTCTCTCCTCTCTCTCTCTCTCTCTCGGAGCAGAGGGAGAAGAAGAGAGAGGGGAGAGAAGAGAATTTTAAATAGGCTCTACTCCTCACCCAGCACAGAGCCCAAGTAGGGCTCCATCCCACAACCCTGAGATCATGACCTGAGCCAAAATCAAGAGTCAGGTGCTTAGCCAACTGAGCCACCCAGGCGCCCTTTTGTAACCCCTCTTATTTTTTCCCATTTTAAACTGTGGATAATAATAGTACCTGTAGATGTGTTGCTTATATTAAATCAGAAGGCAGACAAAGCATATAGTAGGCACTGATTTGTAGCTGTTATAGGCATGGATGGAAGTCATTTTTGTTCATGTGGCAGGTGCTGTGGATCCCAGCAGCAGTTTGCATTTTCCTCCCTCCTCTAGAAGGGTGTATATGCTTCCACAGGAGCCAGCTTACACGCATCTATTCCTTTTTTGGAAGGTTCTAATAGAAGACTGTATTCCAGTACTGAAGAGGTACGCCAAAGAAGGGAGAGAGTTTGATTATGTGATTAATGATTTGACAGCTGTTCCAATCTCCACGTCTCCAGAAGAAGGTAGATTCTGTTTTTTTTCTTTTATAACCAACATGTTAATGAAAATGATTTTTTTTTGGGCGCACCTTGTGAGAATGGAAGGCTCTTAGAGATTGTCTCCTTAATAAGTTCCTTCATGTTTTCAAGGGTGGTTCAACTGAGGCCCACAGTGGAAGGATGGCTGGGTTTCTGTCACCAAATGAGTAAATTTACTCAGTCATTTGAGAGAAACATTAAATAAAATGATGCATAATCACATCATTGAGAAATTAGCTTGTTTGGTAATTTTCTATTCTGTGATTTTTAACTTGTCATGGGACAAACTGGTGACTTTTCTAAGCAACACTAGAAACAGTTCCCCATTCTCAAAACACACACTCCAAACCGCTGCCCGCTCGGCGTTTTGGTGTTAGTGTTCTTTCTATAACTTTGCCTTCCTGCTGAGTTTGCAAACTGAGTCCCCACCTGATGACCCTTGCTGTTTGTCTCGGGATGTCACTACTTCCCCCTTAAAGCTGTTATTTTTCAGAGTTCCACTTCTGCCTTTCTGTCAAATCATTACTGGTATCGTGAAAGCAGTGCTCAGCACATGGATATTTGTTTTTGATCATGCTTGTCTGTGCACGTGTGTGCAGGACACCCAAAAATGACAGCAAATTTTCACGAATGAGCTCTTGAATATTGGGTCTTAAGCTCTTGGCTGTTTTCTTTTTTTGGTATTGTTGAATATTAATGTGGATATTTGATTTTAGATGTTGTTTCTGATGCAAGCAAACCCATGTTTGTATAACATACATTTTTCTTTTTAACATCCAGATTCCACATGGGAGTTTCTCAGACTGATTCTTGACCTCTCAATGAAAGTACTGAAACAGGATGGGAAATATTTTACACAGGTAGACTGCTTAACTGTTTCTTCCCAAAACTCTCCATAAGAATTTTATATTTGAAATTTGCATGCATTTTATTGGAATTTGTCTCTTAAGGATAGAACATTATAACTGAATTATGTTCTTTCAAACAGTAGGTTATAAATAGCTGACCTGTCATCTTGTGGGAATTAATGAGTTCTGTTGTGTCCTTTTATTGCGCAGTGTCCTCACTCACTGACCTGGGGCTGTGGCTGTACTATGATGTACTGCCACCAGATGGAGACACAGATCGTGATATTTTTGTTTGGTTTTGTTTTTTACAATTTTCCCTCTCATCCTCTAGGAGATTCTTCACTGGAAAGCCGATTTATCAACATAACTTTCATAAATTGCTTTGACTGTAGTATGAGCTCCTACCACCAGATGGAAGCAAATTGTTTTTTTTTCCTCCTCTATGGGATTCTTAAATTGGAAAAAAAAAAAGTTTAAAATTTGTATCTGTTATATAAAAAATATACATATAACCTACTAAAGCCCTGAAGAAAATTCTGAAAATGACCACAAAAGGAGCTAAATGATGATCTGAGTCACTTTATTGCTACAACAATCCCTTGATTCATTAGCAGAAGATAAGCACTTACTTAGGTAGTACTGCACTGCACTATGGTCCCTATAATTCTTATTAAGTGCTTTCGGGAGATCTCCCCCACCCCTTTAAAAAGCATTAGTATATTTAAATGTCAAAAACTAGTAGAGAGGTCTTAACTTTATTCTCCCAAGGAAGCATTTTAATGCAGGCCCGGGGCAGTTGATGGGATCTGAGATTAATAATGCTGAAAACAACTTGGCAACTGTCAGACACCTTGAATTCGTCTTCAGCCCATCCCATTCTCTTCCCCTTCCCTTCCCCATGGTGATTAATCCTAGACCTTGCCCTTGGTGAAAGTATTGGGAACTTCAAGGGAAACAGATGACTATATGAATGGATTTTTTGGCCTGATGTTTAGAAATGAAATTTTTTTGACACATTCTAGGCTTGACTCTTAAAGCAGGGATCTGCAAACTATGGGCCAGATCTCTCCTACTGCTTGTTTTGATAAGGTTTTCTTGCCAGACAGCCACACCCATTTGTGACATTTTACCTTTGGCTTCTCTAATGCTCTAGGTGCCCACTGAATGGTTGGTTGGGATGGGGACTGTGATCTGTATGCATAAATTCTACATTCTGGTCCTTTACAGATGGAGTTTACAGACCCATGATTTATAGGAAGTCCACCATGAAACCTGCTTAAAGTTGTCTTACTTTTGTGAGAACAAACCAAATTCAATAAGTTAGGTTTTTTTCATGAGTGGCTATTTCTCAAGCTGAGCATATGGCTAGAATTTGGTTCTTAGGTTTCCGTAAATAGAACTCTCCAGCAGCTTAAGTTGGGGAAGAATGGGAGGTTCTGGGATTTTTCACCAAAAGAGACTGAAAACCGTTCGGGGCCACTGTAGGCAGCGTGGCACAGAACAGGCAGACTTAGGAAGGAAGTGTGACTGTTCTTTTGTTGTGTTTGCCTGCTAGACTGCTGTCTTGGGGAGCTGGTATCGTAGGGTGGGGGGCTAATACAAGTGCTTGCTGAGCAGATCACCACAGCTGGTTTGTAGATACTAATGATCCAAGCTTTGATAATTTGCCATTACCAACCAACTTTTAGGAAAAATCACGCCCAGGGCTGTTCAAAAGATACATTAGGATAGGTTTCCTGTCCCTGCATTCATTACAGTTGGAAACACAGGGCAAGCTCCTTTATGATATTCTGGGATCATATAGTACTTTTGGTGGTTGAATGTGTCACATGGTGCAATCCATGTGGAGTAAGAGTGTAGAAGAGGCAGTAGTTGAGTCAAGAGCACAGGGTGGTTTGATTCAGGATATGCTGATTTGTCATGATGTATGTTTTAAATTTTTAAAAGTTTTTAAAAGATTTATTTATTTTAGAGAGAAAGTGCATGTGTGCGCCCACGTGCATGACTTGAGGGGAGGGGTAGAGGGAGACTCTCCACTGAGCCTGGAGCCCAACCTGGGGCTCGCCCACAGCCCACGAGATCATGACCTGAGCTGAAATCAAGAGTCCGACATTTAACCGACTGAACCACTCAGGCACCCCCGTAGTCCTTTTTAAAACTGCCATGTGGTAATGTTCAGGAGATACTCTTGATTCACGCCTACCTCCCCTTCCCAGAGCATGTAGCTCAGAACTGAAGTGTCAAGATGGGATGAAAATGTTGTTTGACCTGTTACTTGGCGACAGACAAAACCTGAATGTCCTGCCTCAAATCGCTTGCTTCAAATCGCTTGCTTCATAGTAGCAAGTTCTTGATGTCACTAGTATGACTGTGACTGCACGAACACAGCCTAGTTACTGCACCACAAAGCTGGGGAGGTGTAGGGAACGCTGTGCTGTGGAGTGGGTGGGAATTGAGTGGCTCTGGTGGGCCAGGGCGGGGGGCGGTGGGGGTTGAATCCAGGGAAGATTTGCTTTCAAGAGACTGGAAGAGACAGGTCCTGGGACCTTACCTCCCTCACTTGTCTTCCCCACTCCCCATTAAGATAAACCCTGAAGGTCTTTTGATATAAAATTATGTGGCATTCGCATAAGTTATGCAAAATACCACCAACCCTCACTTGAGAAGTGGACATTAACTAGTACCTTCGCTTGACACATCAACATTCCTTCCTAATCCCTGTCCACCTTCCAGAAGGTAACCTATCTTTACTGTTATTCTTTTTTATTCCTGTTTTTCTCTTATTTCCTCTTCCTCTCCTCTTCTCTCTCGTAAACTCTGTGCCTAATGTGGGGCTCAAACTTATGACTCCAAGATCAAGAGTCACACACTCCTGACTGAGCCAGCTAGGTACCCCCATGTACTTTTCTTCCTTTTTTTTTCTGTTAAAGATTTTATTTATTTATTTGATAGAGTGAGAGAACACAAGCAGGGTGAGCAGCAAAGGGAGAGGGAGAAGCAGGTTCCCCCACTGAGCAGGATGCCTGATGCAGGGCTCGATCCCAGGACCCTGAGATCATAACCTGAGCCAAAGGCAGACATTTAACCAACTGAGCCGCCCAGACACCCCTCCACCCTATACTTTTCTTTGTAGATGTTTTACATGTGTAATTTCCTAAATCATTATATTTTGTAGTTTGCTTTAACTTGATGAGAATGGTGTTGTTAAGGATGTATTCTTCTGGACCTGTTAATTTTTTTTACATTACAGAATTCATAACCTAACTTAAATTTAAAAGAAAAACAAGGGTGCCTGGATGGCTCAGGCAGTTAAGTGTCTGACTCTTTTTTTTTTTTTAAGATTTATTTATTTATTTCATTAGACCATGAACAGGAGCAGCAGAGGGGGAGAGGGAGAGAATCTCAAGCAGACCCTCTGCTGAGCATGGAGCCTGAAGCAAGGCTTCACCTCATGACCATGAGAACATTACCTGAGTCGAAACCCAAGAGTCAGACACTTAACCGACGGAGCCGCCCAGGTGCCCCATGCGTCAGACTCTTGA